TTGATTTTAGATGTTTAGATAAAACTTTAATAAATGGAGAAATCTTATTGTAAGATTGGAAGGCTCAGTGTCTTTCAATATTGTCCACATTTTCTTACATAAATGGACAGATTTGATGCAATGTCAAGAAACATCTATTTAGGAATTTTTTTCAAATTATAACAGAAACATTTTATAGTTAAATTGAAGATGAAACATTTAAGGATAGCCAGGCCTTTTTTTTTTTTGCAAAAAATAAATAATGAGAGATAACATGCCAGACAAAATTTTAAAACATGCAGATTCAAGAGACAAAGGGTGTGATCCAAGAGGAAGAATAAACTGAGGAAGAAAATACTGAGTTTTATGGGTGGCAAGGAGAGATTTGGTTTTAAATTTGTGACTGCGGAACTAGGGATGTATCTCAGTGGTAGAGCACATGCTTAATATGTGTGAGGTCCTGTGTTCAATTCCCGGTATCACAAATGATGATGATGATGATGATATTTGTGAAAGAGAACATTTAGATGATGATATCTAGTATATGGTAACGTGGCTTTTGAGTTGATGATTAGAGTGTTATGAATCACAATTATGAGATTGATGACTGCAGTGCTGCTGTTTGAATGACTAATTGCCTGGTACTACTGCTTACCAAGATTTCAAGATGGACTCACCCCTCACCCTTTGGTACTGAGGAGTGAACTCAGGGCCATTGCACTGAGCTACATCCCCTGTCCTTTTTATTTTTTTTATTTTGCCTTCCAATTCTTTTTCTCAAAGAAAGTAATGATATTTTAACAGATTTAGACTTACATAATTTTATTAATGGACTCATGCTTTCACATTATATGTTAAACCCCACATTTCCTACTTTGATATGAATCACAAATGCTCTTCTAAGTCAGTGAGTATACTTTTCGATTATTTTTTCTGTGTTTTGGTGTAAGTGTGTGGTACGGAGAATTGAACCCAGCACCTCCACATTCAGCTGCATCATCACCCCTTCCCCCTTTTTGAGACAGAGTCTTGCTGAGTTGCTGAGTTATCCAGGCTGGGCTCAATCTCAACATCCTCCTGCCTCAGTGTCCCAGAGTGCTGGATAGCATAGTCCCACACCACCACACCCAGCTTCTGTCACTATTTCTAATGTCTACCTTGTGTTCCGTTCTGTGGCTTACCATTAACAGTGAGCCTATCTTTTAATTACTGAAGTATTTTCTTGCTTCTAGTTGTTTTGCTTTTATAAACAAAACTAAGATGAAAATTCTTGTACCTTCATTTTTTTTTTTCCCATTAGACCAATTAGTTCTTTAGGATATGTTACTGGATGTTGAAGAGTAGTTTACAAGATGTAGACACTTTTTTTTTTTGGTACCAGGGATAGAACTCAGGACCTTGTACTTGCGAGGCAGGCGCAGCACCACTGAGCTAAATCCCCAGTCCTAAAATGCACATTCTTAAAATGGTGTTATAAATAACCTTTAGAAAGTTTGAATTTACTTTTCTATTGTCAGTATAGGAGGTGTTATCTATCTGAGCCAATCTCATAAGCCAAAAAGGCCAATATTTTTATAATATGTGAAAAGAACTTTGTTAAGAATGGTACTGTCGGGCCGGGGATTTAGCTCAATGGCTCCAGCACCTGCCTCGCAAGTACAAGGTCCTGAGTTTGATCCTTGGTACCAAAAAAAAAAAAAAAGAATGGTACTGTCTTAGTTACATTTCTTGTTGCTGGGACAAAACATCTGACACCCACAAGTTCAAGGAGGAAAGGTTTATTTCGCCTCATAGTTTGTAGGGGTTTCAGTCCACAGTCAGCTGGCTCTAAGGCAGGGTGGCATGACAGAGGGGCACTGCAGAGGAGAAACAGTCCATAGCAGGGTAGGTAGAAAGCAGCAATGAGCAGCAAGCCTGCCTTCCTTCTTTTTCCTTATTTTTCTTTCAGGCTATAAGCCTGTGGGTTGATGCTACCCACACCCAGGGTGGAGCTTCCTATTATCCACACCCAGAACTATGCTAAAACAATCAGTGGACTAATCTAGTCCTATACACCCCTTTTAAAAAAATGGATTTCATTATTTATTTAGATGTTTAAGCTCTTACACTAAGTTTTTACAAGCTGATGAACACTGACAAATTATTTCTCCCACAGAACTATAACCACACATTTCCAGACATTACAAATATATGGTTGAACTAACATTAATACACATCACTATTTTTATCAATTACATAATAAAACCAATTATCAAGTATCCAAATATTAAGTTATACAGCTCAAAAGGCATATAAAATATTTGATGTCTGCTCCATTCAGTAGTAGAAATTCACTTCTGTTTTTTGCAAGAGGTTGGGAAGAGAAAGAAAAAAAATCACACTTCAAACAAAAATAAGTTGGTAAACAACTAATAAGTATGGAAAAAAATACAAGAATTTCAGAAATTTTATGATTAAGAATTGTTCTAGCTACAATAGCAAAGCATCTATGCATTTAAAAAAATATTTACTAAGTTAAAGAGCATATTCTACATGTTCCGCACAAGACAACGGCAACATTTTACTGAAAATATTGAATAGCCCACTCCTACTCTTTTTCAGGCCCTCCCTGTTAAGTTGCACCTTGGAGTGCAAGCATTAAATTAACTGTCAGGCTTTTTTGTCTGAGACATTAAAGACATGTGCTTCTGTAATAATGTAGATTTTCAAAATGGAGGTTTCCCAGAACAGCACAAAATAAAAGACTTGTAGAAAGACATTAAGTAATCACCGTAAGACTTGGTAATAATCAAAAAGAATGATCAATGTTTAAGCAAACCTGATGCATACTGGTATGAGTATGAGATGTAAACATAAAGTGAGCAGGCAAATAGCCACAGGCCCTACCTTGTTTGAAATGACTGAAGGAATAAACCACAGGTCTAGTGTGTTCTTAGTTCCTGGAATTTTGGTTCTATATGATACTAAAAATATAAGAGTATTGTGCTGGGTATTTTGGCACCTAATCTCTCTAAATTTCTTACGTGTCATTAAGATTTTGGCATGGGAATAGCCTTAAAGACATAACTCAATACTGCATGATTTCAGGGAAGTCAATTGGTACAAATGATAAGCACAATTTAAATGCTGAACAGTAAGAATCTTGTAGTAATTGTCCAAATACATTGATCATAACCCAAACTCAGAGGTTACAATTCTGTTAAGCTTGTGTGTAGCCTGTATAACTGCTTTGCAACGCTCCTACAGAAGCTTCCTTAGACTCATTCACCCAGCTAACAAACACATGGGCTAATCTGTATGACAGTCTGGTCCTGCCTCAAGCTGCACGTCCAAGGGAGTCGCATCAGGCACCCCAGTTTTATTGCATGCAACAGTTGTTCCTGTGACCGTTGGAGTCTTTGAAGCGCAGCCGCATTTTAGGATGATACTTCTCCAGATATAAGAGTTGTTTGCTGTTAAAAGCTCCACACTGCTTTTGTCTTATGAACTGTACTGCATCTTCATATCTCATTCCACCTTCAATTAATGCTAGGGCAACAAGCACTGGAGCTCTCCCAAGGCCTGCAACCCAATGGACAGCAATACAACAACTAGGTTCTTCACAAAACTTAATTTTTACAAGAGTAACCAGTCATCAACAATCTGGTTGGACAGTGGTGCACCATCATCAAAAGGCCAATCAAAAACATGGATGCCTTCCTTCTCCACAAGAGTAGTGTCATACATTGCTTCACATACTCTTACTATTTTGGTAACTCCATACTTCTTAAGTTCCTCTATAAACTTGTTTAAGATTGCATTGGTTGGATTGTGTGCAATGAGGAATCTCATGCTCTTGTATGTGACTTTCACAGGAGCTGGGCCATGTTAATTTAGTTAAAAAACACTTAAGAGGATTATGAAAGATTTTAAAACTTGAATAGAAATGATGCAAGAAACTGAAGTCTACTTCATTATACTCCACTTGAACTTCTCAGTGCTTTGAGTATGGCGTTGGGAGTACTGGGAAATGAAATGAACCTCCTAACAAGAAGCAGCAATCCTTCGATCCGGTAATACTGAGGCAAGAGAAAGGAAGTGCACTAAGGTTTACCCCATTCAGGTCAGAACTCTTTAAAATGTTCTATGATTTCAATTCACCACTTCTGTGTCCAGGTGAGCCTCTCTCACAGGGGCTTCTTGGTGGAGCAGTAATGGATCTCTACAGTTCACTTGTCTACGTAGAGATCGTGTTGTACCTGGCAGTATTCTCCACTGTCCTTCAGAAACTCCATAAATGTGTGACCAAGAACTGAGGAATATGTCTACTCATTGAAGATTGTGGCCTAATCATACAGCTGGTTCTGAGGTGGTCGCGAGGTGGACGTTGGCAGCAGCGGGGGCACCAGGTGACCATGCACCGAGCGGGCAAGAGAGTGTCGTGGACCAGCGCAGCCAGGCAGCCAGGCAGCCAATACTTGTGCTGGGCCTAGTCCTATACACCCTTAATCCCAGTATTACACACCCATGATCCAGCCACCTCTTGAAGCCCCACCTATGAGCTCATGAGGCTTTGGGGGAACACCTAGATATGATCTATAACAGCTACCAAAAGCAGAAACTCCAAGGGGGAAAATTAACAAGTTGGCTATTTTTAAAACTCAAAATGATCTGTTTAATTTTTGAAAATTTGTAAGCCCAGTTTAAAGAAAAATGCCAAATGTCAAATATGTCAAAATGTCATATATGTCAAGTAGCCTCAAATGAAAAGAGCACTTATACATTTTTAAAAATGAATACTTCAGTAGAGACATGGGTTAATAGCATAAACAGAATATTAACAAGTTGGCTATTTTTAAAACTCAAAATGATCTGTTTAATTTTTGAAAATTTGTAAGCCCAGTTTAAAGAAAAATGCCAAATGTCACATA